CAAACAACATGCGCACATTTTAAAATTCACAAAAAAATACTTCCATACATAACCACGTGCGGTGCTTCTCTCTTCGAGGGAGCATTATTAAGAGGACTCTTCACCATTCTAAATTTTTTTCTCATTTTTTTTTCAAATAGGGTATATTCTTTATTATCAGCACATTTACATATGTCTACATATACAGACACACGTAAGAAAAAAAGAAAAACCATACAGATAACAGAATACCTCAATGTAAGAAAAATGATACTGACCTGTTTTTCAAAAGATTACAAAAATTTGTTCCATATGATTTGTTTTCTATCTACAATGATATTCATATATACACTGATACTGGGAAAAGTCTGGAAGGATTCATAAAGTCTTCAGGATTTCTAAAACTCTTTTTTTTCTTTTGTACTAACTACATTCTCTAGTTTTTCTCCAATGATTTATGTTCCTTGACTGATTTTTTTAAAAACTAAAAACATATCTCTGTATATATATCTATATATCGTACACAGAAAGGAATCCTTAAAAAAAGTCAAGGGGCTAAAGAGATGTGTCTTACCTAAATTGTTTTCCAGGACGGCCTTTTCTCCCTCTAACTTGGTTTTGCCGTACAGATTTAGGGGACTTGGTATGTCTTCCTCTCTATAAGGTGGGTTTGTTCCATCAAAAACATAATCAGAGCTAATATAGATTAGAAATGCTCCAATTGCAGCTACAAAAAAAGACAGAAAATAATCTATTAAATTACTACATGACATTACTCTTTACTGGAATTTGTAACAGCTTATTCATCTTATATAACAACAGATCTCTCATAAGTGACCTACAATAGTTTCATCTTCATGAACTCAGTCATCACTTAATATTTTATGAAGATTTTATATAAAGTCATCAATACCTGCTTCCTTTGCTAAATTCCCAGAAGCATCCACATTAAGTTGAGAAGCAGCATCTGGTTGATTTTCCACAACATCTGGCCTTCTCTCTGCTGCACAATGTACTATGACGTGGGGCTGGAAGTTAAGCATTGGTGTTATTTTTAACCCAAAAAAGAAATAAAACAGAAGAACTATAGCTTTCCAAAGGTAAATTAAATCACAGATAAATGTTTATTAAATCAACATTCCTTCAACTAAATCACTGTAACTTCTAATGTAGGTTTGTCACACTTCCCCTTTTCCAAGGTTCAAACTTCCTTAAAGATATATATAGACCCTGAAAAGGAAAGAGCAACTTAGCAGGCAACATCAGACAAAACTGTGTCAACAACTATACTTCTAAATTAAACTTTGTCTCATAATCTGGATGGGAGGGAAGAGCTATAATGTATGTAATTAATGTGGCCTAAATATTAAATAAATCTTTGATAAACAGAGAGGAATATCGATTGCAAATTAGATTCATGAATTCAAATCTCTTAGATCATTTAAAGAAAATTAGCCATCCATAAAAACTATATTCCCAGCTGAGCATTTAGTATCCCACCTTTATACTAAGAACTACGCAAGGACCAAGGACTTCACAATATAATGGAAAAGACAGGTATGTTACGAAACTGTTTCAATATCACATGACAGAAGTCAAGACAGAGGAACACAGAGGGTCCTCTGTAGAGAAGGAGGCACCTACCTCCCAGGGGAGCTGAGTCAGAGGAAAGATTTGGGAAGACCAGTGACAGGCAGGGCTAGTGTCCCACATATCCCACTTCCTCCTTCTCCCAACTGCCTGAGGAAGCATGGTCTCAAACTTGTTTTCAAACTTAAATGGGTGTTAAGGTGGGTTGCTTCTTAAAAGGCACTCACTGAATTAAAATCTCTGTGAGTGAAACCTAAGAACAAGTTTCCCACGTGATTCTGATGCAGGTGTTGCTGGATCACATTTTTAGAGAGAACTTAAACTCCCAGTTTGATCAGAAGTGGACTAGCACCTAAACTTTTTTTTTTAACCTTTTCTCTGACCAAGGCCAACAAGCTATTTAAACTCTCTGAGCCTTTGTGAGCTCTAAAACAGAAATGATAATTTCTGTTTTGCAGTGTTGTAAGGTTTACAGATAATATTAAAAAAGCATCTGCTGAACTTATTTACAAAACAGAAACAGACTCAGACATAGAAAACCTACTTATGGTTACCGGGGGAGGGGGTGGTAAATTGGGAGTTCGAGAGTTGCAGATACTATTAGACATAAAATAAACAAGTTTCTACTATACAGCATAGGGAACTATATTCAGTATCTTGTAGTAATCTATAATGAAAAAGAATATGAAAACGAATACATGTATGTATAACTGAAACATTATGTTGTATACCAAAATTGGCACAACATTGTAAACTGACTGTATTTCAATTAAAAAAGCATTTGCGTTGAACGCACTTAGGAAAGTACTTCATAAACAGAAACATAACTTTACTACATAAACTACATAAACATAAGCTTTTTATAAAATGTTTCATTTTCTGTCATTTGTCAACCTATGTTTCAACCTAATCTTAAGAATGGCATATACTTTGTCATGCTTAAAAAAAAGAAAAGCACATTAAAAAAAGAAAGTTACGTATTACTACTGCTTAGTAAAGTCAGAGCTTAAGTACGGTAACTTCCTAGAGAACATCCTTTTATCATCCAGACAACTCTTAATCGTTTACTTATGTGTTAAAACAAACCATACCTGAAAATCGTAAATGATGTGATGAACTGCATTAGAATCCAAGAGATTAACCTGCTCAAATTTTGGTCTAGCTCTCCTAAAACCACAGCCAACGGCATGCCAATTATTCTGTTGAAATTCTTTGTACACGGCTCTTCCCAGAAGCCCGGTGGCACCAGTAACCAGAACCCGCCTGTTGGGAATGTTAACTTCCTCCTAAAAGTTGAAGGAGAGGAAAAGGATTACTTACTTTGAAAATATTCTCTCAACGAAAGGAGCCACCATCATCATTGACTAAATGTCAAGACTACAGGTCTAAATTGTCTGCTTCCTGTCCCATTATCTGCCCCAATCCTTAAGTTAGGACAAAGATTAATCAAACAACACCAGTAAGCACATCAGTTAAGAAAAAGTATTAATAGTAGCTCACAGAGAAAAAAATGTGACAATGAATATATATATATGTATAACTGAAAAATTGTGCTCTACACTGGAATTGACACAACATTGTAAAATTATTATAAATCAATAAAAAATGTTAAAAAAAAAAGAACACACAAAAGAGAAAAAGAAAAAAGAGAAAAAGTATTAATAATCTTACTCATAAAAAAGAACCCAAGATAATACTGCAAGGTATTACCTAGTCAAATATTCAGGTTTCCTGTGTTAGTAATAGAAAATCTTATTTTTACGATCAATGATGTCCAAATGAACAATGAACAGCAATTTTAATTATGTGGGTTCTGCTTATAAAAATGCACAATTAGTTTTAAGGAAACTTATTTTATGGCCTGATTAAATAGATGGGTTATATTCTGCCAAAGTATTTACAGGTGAACATTTTTGGTCTTCAGCTTTTATTCCCAAGTTTTCTTTCAAATCCTAATGTTTTTATATTCTGAAAGATCCAAATTAGAGAATTCACATTTCACAGGCATTTCTGTAGAGGAAAAATAAATTCGGTCCTTTTAGCATTAATATTCTAAGTTTAACCAAACTAGCAAATATTCCTGTGTTAACTCTAAATTTACCTATAGAATCCAGTTAAAAGTAACAAAGACAGAGAGAGGATAAGGAAAAAATAAATATAAACTGATTGTATTACTATTGTTAAAAAGGGAAAATTCTTCACACACAAATTAAAAGTAACTACTATTTAGCAAACAATTTAAGTACTATGTTTCCAAGGCAAAGCTTCAAAATTTTCCCTTCCTAAAAAAAACAAAAAAACTTTCCCTTCTTCCCAAGACAGATAACACCAAAAATTTCCTCATAAACTCTAGAATTCAGTCAACATTTGCTATTAAAAAACAACAGAAAGTTTTATTAAATTTTATCAACTTGAGGCCTTTTTATTTCCAACACTGTTATAGTCACCTAACTCTAGACTGTTAAAAACTTCAAATATGCACATAATAACCAAAGATCTCTCTAGCTCTTAATTCAGCTAAGTAACTTAGCAGACTATACACTTAAAAAGAAAAAAGTCCACCCAAATCAGGTATTTTTATCTATAGAAAAACCCTGAAATGAAAGGGCTGACAGAGACAGTATAAAGGTAAATTCTTAAAGGTATTTTTTTTCCTTGCTTCAATCAATTTCAAGACATTTTAAAAACTGAAGAAAAATTCATTAGGCTCTCGGTCGCAAAACTTGGCTCTAAGCCAACTGATCTGTGAAAACAAGGATTTCAGCCAGTAAAATATTTTCTTTGAATTCTGGCAAGGAAACAGCTCTACAAAGACTGTAATTGTAAAGAGGTTAAAACATGCCAACTCTAGCAGAGATATAATCAGAAAACAATATATTCAGGATAAATACTGTAAAGATCCCTGGGAAAAATACTATAAAAGAGCTATGATCTGATTTTTCTGAGTTTCTCAACTCTAGTTCACTCTAAGAGATGGTAGCTTTTCGATCAGTGGTTCACGGGCCTCATCCAGTGGGATCAGAATCACCTGGGAGGCTTTCAGACCCAGCACACCTGAGATGAGGCTGGATAAGCTGCAGTAAGTTTCCAGGTGGGGCTGACGGTGGTGATTCGGGAACTGCACTTTGAAAACTGTAATTCTGAACTCCAGCAAAGTCCAAGGTACCCCCAAAGATAAACTGCTCTTATTCAAACAAACCAAAAAACTGCCATCTATCTTTCTAGAAGCGACAACATCTTTCCTTTTTTCCCCTGTAAAAAGGAAGACTAGAAAAAGAAGTCAAAGAATAAGCATCATGCTTGTAGTAACCACAAAGTTTACTAAATCGTAATATAATACTTCTGTGTACTTCACTGATTCGGTAAAGCACATTTTTTCCTCATTTATCATCTCTGTTAAATGAATGAAATAAAGATACACCTTATAAATGTTGCAGTTTGGCAGTGTTTTTTGCTTTTTAGTGCATCTTAAACTAAGAGACCAGGTAATTTTATTGAATTCAAGAGCATCTTACAGCTGATGAAATATAGTATTATGTTACAAGCACAGCAAGGTTCTTAAAGGAATATAATACATTTAACTTTCCAAAAGGTTGGCAATTGTGTAAAGAAATACAACCTTACATCCTTATACCCTGAGATAATATGTAAGGTCCCTAGAAGAAAATATGAAACAGTCCATGCTTCCTAGTGGTCAGATGTCAGTGGTCAAGAATTTTCAATATTAAAAGAACGAAGATGTGAAGTGCAAGCGTTTTCTGAAACAGAAATGCTTCTGCACAATTTCGTATTTCAATGTGTTATATAAACCCACATCATACCTTTCGACCATAAGAATAGTCTTACTAGACAGGCAGGGCAGATATTACTTCCATAGTGAGAAATCTTAAGTCCACAGATGTTAAAGGTTTTACCCACTGTAAAAGGGAAAAAGCTGGGACCAGAACTTGGGTCTTCTTGCTTCTACCATCCAGCCAAATATATACTGTTTTGTCTCTATTTGTTTCATGACAATTAAATTTAATCTGCTGTGTCACAAACCGTGGCCCTGAGAAGTTACTCCATCTCTACTGATTTAACTCCTCACTCCTGAAATGAGGCATCTGGACAAGATGACTAAGGCTCTTCCAGTTTTCCAGTCCTATAATTCTAAACTTTTCTGTATTAGCCTTACCGCAGAGGGATCTGAATACAGTGAAAGAAGCTTCATTTACTTAAAGTAACTTTTCCTCTTTTCACATAGGTCTCTCTAGAGACTCAATGAGCACTTTCTATCACCAGTATAGGAGCCAAAACAAGATGTTTTCATTTGCACTGCAAGTTTATTGGTGGTTGGCGAAGAAAATATGCATCGCTCTGAAATTAAAAGAGGTCAAACAAAAATACCTCTTCTATTTTTGACTTCCTATAAACAGAACTCTACCTGAAGCTTCCTAAAGCACAGTTCTGATTTATTTTCTTTTTGAAAAGTGGAAAATATTCCTCTAAAAATTACTTTGGACCATTACTCTATAAATTACTCCTGGAAAACACAGGAATGTCCAAACACCTCAAGGAACTCTGAATGGAAGAATAACAAGCTGTTCATTTAACCCAAAGCACAATAAAGAGTTGAAAATATTTTGTTTGCCTGAAAAGTCTATTTCTCAATTTTCATTCTTATGGATCAAGAATTCCAAACATCACTTTAAGCTGCTCTGAGCATATATGCCTCTTAACATATAAACTCTTAGATGTACAGAATTCAGTAACTTCAGATGACCAGATTTATAGACACCAAAAAAAAAAAAGAAAATCCTAGAAAAATTAAATACATATAAACAAATGAAGAGCTGCAGCTCTTATTTGTCCTATCTAATCAAATGATGCCAAGTTGTACAGGCAATGGGAGATAAGTGGCTCTTTTAAAGTGGTCCAAAACAGTACTCTGAGACAGCGGTTTCTACTTTAGCACACTTGGATTAACTTGTACTAAAAATGTCCTGGAGAAATAACACCTTGTAACTGACTATACTTCAATTTTTAAAAAAGTCCTAGAAAAAGTCAAGAGTTGAAAGATCACGAATATCTAAAGTGGGTTCTTCTTACACTTTAGTGGTAAATATAATAATGCTTTGCTATTTTTAGAACCTCTTAATTTTGGCAAAGTTTCACAATCATTTCTTTATTTGATTCTCACAACATTCCCCTTGAGGCAGATCTCTGAGTAGACACTCCCGAACTTAAGAAACTTTTTAAAGACACCTAAGTGGCATTGGTCTAACTCCTACTGTCACCCCAATGTAGCCCACAGCCAGTATTATGAACAGAAGCCACTACAGTCTATTTCTCTAATATAAACTATAAGACAATCCTCATTCTCACAAGTGAGTTTTAATTCTACAAGTTTTGAGAGCAGCAAATATGTGCCAAGCTTTTGGCTGTACAATTTT